TATCCTGTTGTCAGAATAGACTCAACCCGCCTGACTCACCGTCACGGTAACACAACATTTGTGCCCGGTTAGAGGAGTCTTTGCACAGCCCAACCGCTACCGGTAGCAACTATCTATGTTATAACCCCACTTTGTAAGAAGATGGAGCCAGCCGAAAAGGGGATCATTTGCCAAAATGTTGACTGGTAGTAAGTGCCACACTTTCAGGCCAATTCAATCATCTTAATATGAGAAAATCCACATATCATACGAGATTGACATCTGCTTTTCTGAATCTCAGGATAGTAAGAAAAAAGGGAGGGGAATTTCCCTACTCTTTAACTCTCCGAGTCTGTGCCCCCCTTCTAACCTTTCGCCTTTCTCCCCTAATACCCCCTTGGGACACTGAACTCACTGGGGGGGTGTTCAGTCCAGGAGTTGGGCTCTATTACTCCCAAGAAGACTGATTTAACCAGCATAATTTTATAGAATTCTAAGGCCCTTTATTCCTTAGTCGCCACTGGTCAGTATCTCCTTACTTTCCCTACTCCAGGAGATAGATCCTTCAACAGTAACTCATTGCGAGAGGGAACGAACCTCCTGGGGCCCTAGGAGGCAGTTTAGGGTTTAATCAGTTCCCAACATCTTAGCTCAGGCTAGAATACCGGCCAGGTATCTCACATGTACCCTGCTGGCAGGCCTAATGGTCTGTTTCCATCCTATTTTGCTTCGCTTATAGCCGGTAATACGAAGTCTGGCCCCAGTCTTTTTATATATATAATGTCATAGTTCACCACACAATATAAGAAAAAATTGGTTAGTATGCAGGATATAATTTGTCAACCATAATGCCCTCAAATAATATCTCAGATTTAGAGGTTCGTGCAATAGGGCAAGGAGTTGAGCATGAGTATATGGTCTCAGGGGAAACAGAGGACTGTAGTAGTGATTAGGAATTGGGTGAAGAATCAGATTCTGTCTCTCAGGCTCCTCTATCCCCTCTGGTCTCTCTAACTCCTCTGTCACCTCTTGCCTCCCTTGAACTTCTTCTAACCTCCTCTAAAGTTGCTTAACAGTCCATCTACTCTCATGGTTCAGTAAACCCACATCCTGCTAGTATAAGCTTAATTGCTACCATATCTATATATATACCATGGCCAAGCGCTAATCTGGCTACAAGATAATGTCCTACAGCTCTAATATACCTCCCAACCAAAAGACAAGTATAATGCAATCAGAACTCCCTTTCCATATGAGCAGGGATCAGAGCCCCTGAAGTTTCTATCTGATCCCAAAGCACCCAAAGATGGGAGCAGTGATGTGTATTCCCTGCACCATCAACAAATCCTAAAAAAGGCTTGATAGAAACAAGAAATCTGTTGGGATAGTATGCCAAAGGACAGGGTATGACTGAACCAATTCTTGCATCCTAGCAACACTAACTATTAACTTATCCACACCTGCCAGAAGATTGGAACTTACTTTTTTTGGCATTGAGGCAGAAACAGAAACGCAACTTCAAATCTACAATGACTACAGCATTTTATCCTTTTTATCCCATAATATAATCTGCGGATTTCCAACCCTGTAATTCTGGGAAGTTTTATCAAAACCAGTTACTATCCGAGGAATTCCCTCAAGGAACCAGATTCAGAGAAGATAAATACGTTTCCGATTTCTCACTTCAAGGAACCACTAATTGTATAATTTGCCATATCTTACCTTGCTCCCATAAGCCACCGACTGCAGTAAAATGTTTCTTCCAATTCGCTATGATATTAGAGTATCAGCAGATAGAACTTCACTAATCCACTCAGGTTTAGCTTGAGAGCTAAACAGAACTGGGAATATACCACTTCATAAATAGAATTCAATACACCCAGAGGGCTCAGGATAGAATCCAGCCAGGAGTACCTACCTTTCTCGGGAACTTGCTCCTCTAAACCCGGTGATCAGAGAGCTGCTGTGGGTGGCGAACCACCAGATAGTTTGCAGTATAGGGCCAGGATAATACTTGAAAAACTTACAGCTGCAGGGCCAGCTCGAGTCTCGGCAGGCTCCCGGAAGGACATGATACCTTGAGGAGTATAGGACCTAAACAGTCATAAACGAGTGAACAGCACTCTTACAAGTGGGAATACCTCCCAGTGAGAGGGAGGTCTTTGAACCAGGAGTTAAGCCCGGGAAAGTGTCAGGCTATTAGGAGTTAAGTCACTCTAAAGTCAAGTAAGTATATATTAGGCCCTGTATTATTCCCTCTCAGAGATAGTCAAGACGGCTTGTAAAGATAGAAGTAAAGTAGAATGAATATATTGATAAGATCTCTTCTCCAAGCGTGGAGAGAGCAAGACAGGTGAGAAATGCCGGCAACCTTTGATCGAGGGGGCAGCCAATACTGCTGGCGAGGGAGAGGGTATATCCTTGCCACAAGGAGCCTGGTTGTAGAAATGGCTGGATGACGCCATTAGTAACATCAGAGCCAGGAAAGGATTGTAGTGCTGCCATGACAATGGCAGAAGAGAGAGAAGTATGAAGAGATCCTGGCGTGGAGGGAGGGCTGAAGGGGTGGGTAGGCCAGAGCACTACCTCCTCAGTGATGATAGGGCCCAAGGGCCCAGGCAGTAGGGTGCCAGCCGATCCTGAAGGAGAGGAGAGGAAGAGGGCAAGGCAAAGATAAGATCAGGCCAAATGATACAGTAGGAGGCTGCAACTGGGGTCATAGGAGTAGCTAGTGTTTTACCGTGTCGCTCATGTAGTCCCTTGTTTTGGGAGAGAGAGTATTACTGTA